AGGCAAACAGGTCCTAGGTGACGGGTCAGACTAAGAGTGGTTCAAGACCTCTTACGAAAAAAAGAAGATCAAGGACCATGATGTCACCCAGTATGGTGCAACCGGGGCCCCACCCTGGAGCCAGGCCCAAGGTTGGGGCTCGAATGTGAGGCTGTTCCCGCTGGGCCCGGCCGGGCTTAGCCCAAACAAGCGACAAGGGGACGTTCTCCTGTGGGGCCACCACCTGCAGGAGGATTCATAAGGGGCTGGTGCACAGTGGATTGGGCAGCATTCAAAGGCAAGGGCCCCGATGTCCCGATCTCTGGACATGGAGACTAGCCCTGGGGACATGGAATGTCACCTCGCTGGTGGGGAAGGAGGAGCCTGAGCTTGTGCGGGAGGTTGAGAGATACTAGGTAGAGATAGTTGGGCTCGCCTCGACGCACAGCTGAGGCTCTGGAACTATGCTCCTCGAGAGAGGCTGGACTCTCCACTACTCCGACAGTGACACCTGGATTTTGTGTAGCTTGGTGGAAAAAAGATTCAAATCCACTTTGAGATGAGTCTGAAATATAACAAACATGGAAAACAACTTGAAAGGGCCTTAAAACATTTTGTACCAACTGTATGTGTCTGCCATTCTGAGAAGCATATTTCCTACCTCACCTACTATCTTTTTTGTGAAACAGCTTACCTGTGTTTTTTATCTTCTTTGTATCACTGTATTGCTCTAATATTTTGGTTTGCTTCTGAGTACAAGAATGTAAAATCACTACACTACATTATGAATTTCAAAAGAAAAAGCAATTTGCCTTAAAGAGAAGGAGATGCTGGGTCTTAACAACAAACTCGGTCAAAGAATGTTAGGGTTAGCCCCCCTCGCCAGGAGGGTGAGGGAGAACTAGGGGTAGGACACAAGATAGCTGACCCAGGTGCTAGTACAAAACAAAGGTTTAATGGGGGAAAAAGCAAGACAAAGCCAAACGTAACAACAACAACAGGGTCCGTAATACTTATAACAAAGGAAGGGCAGTGATAACAAAGGAGGGGCAGTGATAACAAAGGGGACCAGGACGAACAAGTGCTCACACAAACTCACGGTAGACAAACAGGGTAAGCATAGTCCAAAAGCCAAGCCACAGAGACGAACCAAAAACTGAGGGTGTGTGAAGTGTAACGCCTATGTCGAGTAATCAGAGTCAAGCCAAAACGCAACAGTAACTGTCAGCGTAGCATTCCATAGTTACTGACATAAAGCGGCGCTATGTTGAGCTATGTCTGATATCAGTCAGCTATTGTTAGCTATGTTTGCTATCAGTCGCTAATGATGGCTAATGTTCGGGATGCACCTCAGCTGTGTGCGTTGACAACCAGTTACTAATTACTGGAATGCAACACAGCTGAGGTGCAGAGCCCACAAAACGGAGAAAACAAAGAGACAAAAAGGAGGAGAGGCAGCGGCCGCCGAGCGGCCCTGACAAAGAAGTGGTAATCATTTATACTCGGCTCTCCACTATCTTTCACCTGCTCGGATAAGAAGTCCATTTTTTAAGGCCTTCAGTTTTAATGGTGTTGCCACTCTCAAGGTTATCAGCTCAATCATTAATTAGAATGGAGAGCCTTGTTATGATGTCATTTGAGTCATTAGCATCAGTTGGCTCATCTTTTTTTTCCACTGAAGATTTGGAAGGAGTTTCTGGTAACGTAATGTCAGAGAAGTCTTTCTCTGTTTGACTCACAAGCATAAATGTGAAAGTTATTTTGTCAGTATAGGTTTTTCTGCACAGTCTTTCCTTTTGTTTTTGCCACTTGGAATGGTTATAAGACATCTATAGGTTTATTTTATCTGAAAAAGCTTGTACAATTTTGAGCTTGTTGTTATTGGAGCTCTGAAACCAGCACTTAACTAGCCACCATCTTGGCCTCCCATGAATATTAACAAACAGTCCACTTTTTTTCTCTTAGTTTTATTGAACAATTATAATGTATAATCATCAGAGAAAGGGGAACAATTGTACAGTACAATACGAACATATGACATGCCCGAGGGGAATCCATACATACAGCCACAAAGAAGGGAAAAAACAACAAAACAAAAGTGGTGAATAAGTCAAAAAAATTATACAATAAGGTTGTATCTGTGACATAAATTAATAGTCATCATAGCCTTTTTGTTCTTAGATGAAGAATGTTTCTCTATAGTTTTTAAGCCTTTCATGAAGACACAAAATATGGGTCTACTATCATGATGTTTGCATTTATGTATGTAGTATTTAACTAGAAGCACGATAAGGTTAATGACAAAAAATGAGTCACAGCTATTTTTTTCAAAAACGGTGTAATCCAGGACGACATTCTCAAACCTTGGGGATGTCTATGCAGCTATGTTGAAAATAATGTTCACTATCTATCCAAAGTCTTTTGGTGTGGCTACAGTTCCAAAACAGGTGATGTATATACAGTGGGTACAGAAAGTATAAAGACCTGGCTTGCACTGATCGTGCTCCTTTAGAGATCAGGAGACATTTGGACTACAAGACCAGACTTTTGTTCCTTTATTGAAAATCTTATTTTCACTGCCTTACAAGCCTTTTCCCTGGTCTAACAGACAGATATCATGGATAATAATCCAGAATCTCAGGGACCATCCCCCCCACCATACCCTGGAGAATATAAGACTGGAGCGGACATGGGTACCCAGCCTCAGCCTCCTGCCCAGCCTGGTAAGACATCAGGGACTTTGATCTGTGTTATTCTACCTGCTTGTTTTTCTCTCTTACAGCAATGTAGCAGATGTCTGATATTAAAATGATGTCTACTGCTGGTGGTCAACCTTGTGTCATTATGCTGTTTTTTAACAAAGAAAGCTAGCTGTTCTTTAGTAATGCATAGTACAGAACAAAACAAACAGTATTGCAAAATACTAATGACAGGAAATAATGAACTTAACTCATGATTTCTTACTGTTTGAGAATCTCTGATTAGCTCATGTGACTTACACTAGGCAGCTAATGATGCCCAAAGGTTTTAGCTGATGGTTAATCATTTAAGTTAAGATTTTTTGGTGACGGACATAGCAAATAACACTATCCAGTGAAGTTCTCCTCGAGATGAAGAGCTTGTTGTTTTCCAATGCTGGTTAAATATCTTCTTTTTTTGTAATTTAATGTTTAACTTTTTTTTTTTGAAGTTTCATTTAAATTCAATTCAATTTATGTGTATAGCCCCAATTTCTATTGTTTGCTCAGTTTCTTTCCATCTAGCTTTATAAGACAGTAGGCATACACCAGGTGAGTTATCAGGAATGATTAAGGTCTGTACTTAACCAAATATTATCTGTCTCCTGTCATAAAGTGAATACCTCTTTGGTTTTTGGACTGTCTATTGAGGGAAGATAAACAAAACAAACCATTCGGGCCTTAGTTGGGCTGTTTCCTAATAGTCTTTCATAAATGGAAGAGCTAAACCCACTTTATTCATTGGTAATTACAAAGTTTTGTACTCATTACTATACTTGAACTAAGACTGAAGTGCGGTATCAAATTCCATCTGTGGATATTTGCAACAATTTCTTTGTCAAGGGCTCCGTAATTTACTTCTGATATCAGTAATAAATCATAGGGTATGACTGTATCTCTGACTATTTTATTGTCTTTTTGTCCCACCCTAATTGGTACTTCTGAAGATCTTGAGACAGGGGAAACACTTATTTCTTCAGTTTTTCCTGTCATATTAGTCCATGTGGTAGGAGCCTTTAGGCAGCTCATCTGTCATTTTGTTTCAGCCTTTTCTCACGTTCAGTGTCTCCTTCCCAGGTCCATATCAACAACCCGTTTACCAGTACAATGCACAACAACCTCAGCTTGTACAGTCTGGTGAGTGTCTTTCTCCAGCTATCTCAGATACAATAAAATAACTTCAAATTTGTATAATATGGGAAAAAACTGTTTGCACCTCACATAACTCTGAGTTCAGTGATGGGTTATGACTGTAGTTGTTAATAGAGTGAATTAATTTTTTTCCTGTTCACAGTGGTGGTGGTGCAGCCGATGCCAAGTGATGCTCCTGGACAGATGATGTGTCCTCGCTGCCAAAGCACTATTATCACTTCTCTTACGTACAAAAATGGCTTGCTGACCTGGCTTATCTGTGGTATACTAGGAGCCTTGCTGTGAGTACACACCCCAACACACACAACACACACACCTCCCATACTGTTTAAACATACCATAGGTTCCAGTACACCAAGTAATAAACATTATTTGTGACATTTGTCTGACACTCCACACCAGAATCTGGCCTTGCTGTCTGATCCCGTTCTGCGTGAATTCTCGTAAAGGCGTGGAGCACCACTGCCCCTCATGTAACAACGTCCTGCATGTCTATAAACGAATGTGAAACAGGACTGCAGTGAAAGCTCTGCTGAAATAACAACAAAGGGCAGAGAAACCAACCATGACTAAATAAACCCTGCACTCATTTGTGCAAAATGCATATTTGTTCTTGTCGTATTCTGTACTGTACATATAGGTGCAGTAGCTAGAAGATTACACAACAGCTCTGCTTTCTTCTTTTCTTTATATCTGATAATGTGAAATGTGCAATCATGTTGTAAAAATGTAAGTCTTTCTGTCATAATCATGTTTGCTTGACTTGTCCAGAGTGATATCGTCTCCACACAACATAGCTCAGTGTTAAACTCAGGCAACAACATCAGATGGTAACTTTTATGATAGGGGTTTTTTAAAATAAAATGTCTGCAAAAAGTTATTAACTATCAAATCTTAGGTTACATTGTTTATTCACTGAATTTATTCTGTTAACAAAGCATGTTATTGTAACCATGAGCAACTTGCTGATTGTACCATGGAATGAGTGAAATGAATAAATCACCACTTAATCACCCCTAAAATATAACTTTCATTTTCTTAGTAGTTAGCATTCATAAACAAAATAATGGCTCTTTGATCTCTGAGTTATCAAAATAAGGTTTATAAAGTGAAGCCGTGTCAATCTAGGTGAAGTATAATAATAATAACTGGCTCGGGAGGTAGAGAGGGTCGTCTCCTAATCCGTAGGTCGACGGTTCTGTTCCTGGCTTCTCTGGGCCAACTGCTGAAACAAGCTGAGCAAGTCATAGAACCTCAAGTTGGCATCAATGGTGTGTGCACTTGGGAGCGTGAAAGGGCAAATAGTAAACATGCTTTGAGTGTATAGAAAAGTGCTATACAAGGTAAGTCCATTTACACCATAAAAACAGCCCAAAATGTTTCAGTGAAAAATAATGAGGGGAAGGGGGTGTACAATAGGTAACAAACAGACATATTACTGCAGAACAAGGCTTATTCACAGCAGACATTCTGACATGAAGGCCATAGGTATCCATTTCATAGTCCTGGTACTGTACATGGCTTGGTGGAATACCTAACTGCAACACAGCTGACAGTGTTAGCTTATGCTGTTTCTGCTACATGTAAGTCAGAATGTCTGCTGTAAAAAGGTCTCTCTTTATTTTATTTTTAATTTTATGCTGCATTTAACAGGAAACTGGCCTTCAAATCTCCCTCAAAGGTGTGATGCAGTGAAAAATGTTAACTTATATAACAAAATGAGTGAGACCAATAAAACTTTTTATATACAATGTGTAATATGTATTAAGATGATTTTACACCATGACTTTACATGCTGTGATACAGAAAGAGGTCACATACAGAGAAGAAGAAGAAGAAGAATGGAGAGAGACATGAGTTTTTGAATCTGCTGGAGGTCCAACAAACTTCATTTAAGGTCATCTACCAAAGCAAAACAATGTAATCCTCTTTGTGGCGGTGATCTACTTGACCTCAGACTACAGCTTCCTGTAGTTCTCCATCTAGACAGCAGATGGCGCCAGCGGGCCGAGAGACAGCAGCCTTCAGTCAACAACACCACCCCACCAACACTTCCTGCTCATTATGAAGTGGGCTGTTTACAGTAATACTTGGTCTCTAGTGCCACTTTAGAAGAAATGATGAAAAGAAGACCCTTGTTCCACAAACAGAACATTTTGACCAGCTGCACAAACACATGCCTGTAATGACAAATCACACACTGTGATGGCTGATTGATAGGCTTAATCAAGGCGCTCAGACCTTAGATGTCTAATGCTATTGTACCTCATGGCAAAGGGGAAGAAATTACAGTGGTAAATGTTTTTAGATCTCTGTAAGTGGTTTTTCAGACTCATAACAGAGAGGACTGTGTATTTCCTTTGTGTCATCTATGTGCAATTTGTATGTGTCTCTGTGTGGAGGGTTATTATAGAGACCTGAGGTAGGTTAAAACCAGGATTATGGGATGGGCCATCTCTGATAAGGTCCTATTGGACTATGACCATATAACCTCTGGATTACCCAGATTAGGATTGATGACCCACGTTAGTCAGCACTTCTCTGTCCTGTTGTCTTCACATGAAGCCAACTCCAAGGAAGGAGATTATTCCATTTTAAAGGGAGACTTGGATGAATCATGTCTTCAAGGGTATTATGTAACACTGTACTAGGGTGGCCACAAGGTTCACCTGTGTTTGGACTGACCATCTGTCCCTCTTCCCCATCCAAATCCTATCTTCACTCTGCAGCACTCACCATCAATACGTCTTATTGCTGAAGAGAATTCTGGTTGTTTTGGTCTGGTGATCTATGATAAATCTATATCTTCCACATCTCTGGGTGTGAGAAAGAAATGTTTAAGTGTTAAGAGGAAGACATGGGAGCCTGAAGGCAGGAAATAACACTGGGATGTGCAAATGAGTGACTAATATTGGATTAGCAATGCCTTGCCATGCTTATATAGTGCACTTATTACCACATTTCTTCCTAGTTAGACAGGTGCTTCAGCAAATCCTTCTCTCTTTATGTGTGGGTGCAGAAAGCTAAAGTGGGGATTGCATTTCTGTTGACACCTCCGCAGATCCAGCATGAAGCAGGGAGAAGCATGCAGACAGAGTGAATAGAAAGAGGGGGACAGAGGGAGCGAGAGAGGCAGAGTCAGTGAGAGAGAAGAGTGAAAGAGAGACAGAAGATATATTTGACTATGTGGGTGTGTGAAGTATCAAGGCATGCATCATAATTGTGAATTCTCGGAACAGCCGGACATCTCATTGGAGCAGCATCAGCATCAGCAGCAGGACATTGTTGTTCTCACAGACTGTGTTATCTTGTACTTTGAAACAGTGAGAGCTGTGAGCGACATAAGGGACATTTTCAAAGGCAAAATGGAAACCGTTTTGTTTCTGCTGTCACAAGGATTTCATTAACTGGGATTATAAAAGTACTGTGGCTAGAAAGTAAAGTGCAGACTGGAAAAGTATGATGCCTCTTCACCATCAATAATCACAAATTCGAGTCACGAACAGAGGTGAGTTTTTGTTTAAAATCAAGAATGATGTTGTTTAATGTTGTGGTATTTATTGCATGTGTATGTGTGTATGCTTATATGTACACTGAGGACATTTTTAAAAGGAAGAACATCATGGCCACACTTATTCACAGTTAGGGTAAAGGTTAAAATTCTGTTCATCTTAGTGCTGGGAATGTTTGGTTTCAATGAGGGTTCTCGGGTGCAAACAAGTACAAATTTGCATTGTATTGTGTCTATGTGTGTAGTCGTGCGTTTCTCTGTGCTTTCGGGTACTGAAACCTGTGTCGCCCAGTGTGCGATGTAGTCAGCCCACGCTGTTTCAAGTTCCCATGGAAACCATTGCCCAGTGCTAAAAGCAGGTCTATTCTGTGCTGTGAGTGCCTGAGTGTGTTTTTGTATTTGTGTGTGTCTGAAACACAGAGAAGCATGTTATTCTCTGATAGATAGATTTATTAGATGTTAATATACTAACTGTTGTTTCTGCTGTATGTTGTGAATCATGGACCAATACATTTCATATCTACATTCACCTTCCTGCCTGCCTTGTCTCTGGATCTTTTTTTCCACAGTGTCACTGCTCTTGTTTGCTTCTCTGTACCTTTACCTCACATTCTCCTTTTAACCCTTTCTCTGCCTTTCCTCATCAGTACATTTTTCTCTCTCTGTATCTCTAAGATGGCAGTCAGCCCTTTCACCATCTGCCTCCTGTCACTGGTTGCCTATGGCTCAGCCCACCCCTCTCCCCCTCCTCCTCGGGGGTGTAGTGTGGATGTGGACCCTCCCTACAGAGTGCTGTGTGACCTGGAGTCAGTCTGGGGTGTGGTTCTGGAGGCCGTGGCCTGCAGCGGTGGCCTCACCTCTGTGGTCCTTGCTGTGCTCCTGCTAGTCAAGCTGCATTCCATTTCTGACCCCGCCAAGCGCTCCAGCATAGGACCTCTTCTCCTGCTCCTGGGAACACTCCTTGGGCTTTTCACCATCTCTTTGGCTTTCCTGGTAGGGAAGAATCAGGCGCTATGTGTGATCCGCAGGGCCTTCTGGGGGCCCCTCTTTGCCCTCTGCTTCTCCAGCTTGGTCGTGCAGGGTGTGAGGCTCAGGAGGCTGGTGGCTGGCAAGACAAGCCCATTGGGCAGTTCACTGGCAGCACTTGGCCTAGCCTTGGCCTTGGTTCAGGGGATAATCTCTGCTGAATGGGTTCTGCTGACAGTAGTTAGGGAGGGTCACCCAGCGTGTGAATATCCACCCTTGGACTTTGCTCTGGCATGCAGCTACACCCTGGGCCTGCTCCTCATAGCCATGGGGCTTTCTCTGGGGGTGGTGCTGTGTGGAGGAGAGTTGGGGGTAGAGGGAGGAGGTGGCAGTGAAGATGACAGAGAAGGAGAGAGTGAAAAACGAAGATGGAAATGTAACGCTATCTGGCTCTTCCTATCCAGTCTGGCATCAGCATTGCTGTGGGTGGCTTGGCTGGGGTTTTATCTTTATGGCAGCCAGATGTTGAAGGGAAAGGGGAAAGGGGAGAGGCTGGGAGGAGGAGGAAAGAAGGATGTGAAGGTGATGGATGAGCCTGCGCTGGCAGTGGCCCTGGTCCTTCAGGGCTGGATCCTGCTTTTGTTCCATGCTATCCCAGAGGTGTACCTGTGTCTAAGCAAACTTCCACAGTCTAACACGCAAGATTTTTTCGACACCAGTCACACATCTCCTCCTCCACATTTTGGAGATGAGCCTGCTGCACACGCTCACCGACCCTTCCCAGAAAACCAAGCTTTTTCTATGGAGGAGCACAATACAAGTAGGCCTATGTAATAAGTGTGTGTGTGTGTGTGTGTGTGTGTGTGTGTGTGTGTGTGTGTGTTTCACTGTGTATTTTGCAATGGATATAATGGAAATTTAAAAAAAATCTGTTGCAACCTGAGCATAATGGTATCTACGGTACATCTAGAGTGGATTAGGTTATATTTCAACAAAATATGTGTTTTATAGGAAGTCATGAGAACATTGTTGCCAGGCAACTGACAACAAAAATGGATGTGAGTCATTTCCAAAAATGGTGAATGACTGTATTTTCTACATTCAGTGAAAGAGTAAAAGTGACACGTTTTCATGGGGTCTGGCATTTTACTTCAGCACTGCAGTCAAAGCTAACTATTGAGCAATAACGGTGGCTGTTCTAAGTTTGGCTCTTGCCAATTTAACTTAAATAAATTTCATTGGTGACCAAAGGCCATATTCACAAAGCGTCTTATTTTGCTATTAGGAGTATTCAGACATAGCACTAAAATTTAGAGTTCCCTCTTAAGAGCTTTTCACAAAGCTGCTGATAACTTTTACTACAGGACTGAGACAACTCCTAAGTGAACAGAAGGGATGATAATGTTTAACGATTTAATTTACTTACTCTGTTTACAGTGACATGTGACCAGTCTGTGACAGTGGATTGGAAGAAATATTCATCAGTACAGAGGACAGTATCAAAAAAAACTAGACTGATGATTTGACTAAACATGAAATTAAATATACGTTTTAAAATATAAATTTAATTCTAAATTAATTGTAAATGTAAATTCAATTAAAACATTCATTAAATAAAACCACACAAAAATTTCAAAAGTTAATTAATTATTTACTAATTAGTTACAATTACAAAATACAGTTTATATGGAAATGTATGTGTTTCTTCATTTGTCTTCTTATGTTAAAACAATCTGTTTCTGATGTCCATGGATACAGTAATTGACCTTTTTCTTCTCCTCGTCTGATAATAGCTGCTAACTGGTCCAGCAGCTTCTTCTCTCTTCCTCTCTCCTAAATGTAGCTTTCACCTGCTGTACTGATTTTTTTATTGTTGTTTAGGAAGGTATCAGTGTTCTAGCTTTGACCCAAAGCAACTGCTGACCTTGTACATTCTTGTACAACGGTAATGTCCGTATGTGACTTAAACATTTTCTGGACTGCCTCTAAATTCTCCCAGACTTAGGACCTACTGTAGTTTTAGAAATAAAACGCTTTGTGAATGATTCTTAAAATAAACTGACACCCCACCCATAAAAAAGAAAAAAATATATGGTCACTCTCGCTCTACAGCCACATTTTGTTTGCCCAGCAGTCAACATTTTTATTGAGGATGTGAACACTATAAAAATATACATAAACTAAATAAGTAAGCTTTATGGTTTTTATCATGATTTCACATCAGTGAGTCTTTTAAATGGACTCATCCTGTGAACACAATAAACATGGTGACACTATAAACTATACATGAGAGCTGTTATTACACCATGTTTTTTTTTTTTACTGCAGAGATGTCAGAGACTCTATCTAAGCTTTATAATGGCATCTAAGAGCAAGTGACACGTGGCCTTTACAGAGTCATGAAAACTCAACTTTAACAAAAAATGATCTAAGATATTTATATATCATCCCATAAAAACACTATTTTTTCACCTAAAAACTTATTTAAATTCCCATTTAACTTGTACCATGACAACAGCATTATACTACCATGAGTGCTGCAGCTGAGATTTGTTTGCAGCAAATGGTGGCTGGTATTAACCACAATCCAAATCCTACTAAACCTCATGAAATGCCTGATTATCCATAAGGCTTATCTACAGGAACATTTTTTAATAATTTCACTGTGACTGCTCTCCATATTGCTTGAAGCCAAATGCACAGATGAGGAGCTAAAGCATGGGAAACCAGAACAAACACTGAGTGGAATCACAGAGACCAGTGGTAGGTGTTGTTTATTGTGCATCTGACTGAAGAGGAGACAGAGCATAGTGAAGCCATACAGAAAGGAAAATTATGTAACGTGGGTAAGAAATACATCACAAATTGTTTTACTTTGTGGCTGAAAGGAGTGATTGTGAGAAATGTGTTAATATGATGGATAGGAATGGTGGTCAGAGATAAAGTAAAAACAAACCCAATTATAGTTTTGCTTTAAAATGTCTAGAAAAGACATAATACAATTGTCGTTGTGCAAATATTGTTGATTATTTATTTATTTGTTTGTTTATTTGTTTTAAGATTTGTCTTTTGGTATTTTGCCTTTAGTGGACTGATAGTGCAGGGAGAGACAGCAAACTTAAAATGGAATACCCTGGAGTCAAACTACGCATTGTGGCATTAGGCTGCTGAGGCGTTCACTGACTGTATGACCCCCCGTCATTTTATGTTCTGGCATATGACAGAGATACATATTTCACATTTTTTGTTTATAAAGCGATGCAGAAATGGACAGTCTGCAACTCATCACCTCTTCACTCCACTCGCTCACAGTTAGGTCCTCTAATGATGACATCTTGGGAAATTCAACATTATCATGAGCTTGTGTGGGAGGCCTTTTCAGTGTTCCTTAACATAGAAACATGGGATTCTCCCGGATAATGTAAAGAGCATCCTGGTTTATTACGACGTACAGCTCAAAATACTACAATACCCATGTGCCTCAGCCAGTCAGTGTCATTCATTGCAGCAGGGATTTCAAAATGCTTTATTGTTGCAACTCAGGAACAAAATGTGTTATAGCTGACAAATTTATCCAAAATGCAGCCAGACATTAAAAGTGAGTTGTTGACACAGTGCTTTATTCTACTTGGTGAAATGCACTTTGGGAGTCATAGTTCACTTTTATCTTTAAGCTTTTGTGTCAACAGAACTGTAAATTTGACATTTGATCAAAGAACTTGATATTTTCTAATGCATTGTTTAATGGTTTGGACTGGTGATTCAGCTGGGAAAGTTTCATGTCAATCCAAGATCCCAAATGAATGGCACCTTAATAACTCATCCCACTTAACAATTCTAAAACAGCAGGATGCCTAACTCCATGCACCAGTAAGGATGACAAGGGTATAATTCTGCCCAACAAAACTGACAGAAGAGCCTGCAAGAACACACAGTCCTGAAAATCAACCATAATAATTAAAATCATCCTTGTGGGCTCACTATAGGTGTGAAGGACCTCTGAGGCACCCAGGTGGTGGGAAGATTACACTTCAACCTGAGCATGACGCACGTAGGATTTGTCCCAGTCTATAGCACAGCCATCTGTCATAGTGGGCACTGTCTTATTATAATACAGAAGATGCAACATGTGTATGTGTGTGTGCTTTATCATTTTGGTCTGTCAGCTCTTCGAAGTGGAACATACCAAGGCAACCATGGGAGCATGCGTACGGGCATCGCCTTCAGAGGTCACGTCTACCAGCCCACTGAGATGGCTCTGGTCATGAACGGTGGTACAGTAAGTATGGCAGAGCTGCACACTCTGGATTTGACTCTCTCTCGTCAATAATTAAGTATTGATTCAGTACAATATTGTATCTGTTCATTAATAATTTGTCTCTTGTAGATGCCCACAGCCCCAGTTAACTACACTGGACGACGGTTATGGTAATATGAGACAAGACTTGAAGAGGATGTAACACTGGTGTGTGACAGTAGAGTTTTCTGTTTCCTAAGAAGAAGAAAAGAAAGAAAGAAAGAATCATAAAAGCATCACATATAGTAGATTTGGGAGCTATTTATGTTTAATGTATTTGTGTTTCTGCACATGTATGAATTTTACATTTTAAAAACAGACTGTGAGAGTACTTTTGCTAAGCTTTTCTCACTTGCCTCTTTATTGGCAGACTGGACATGAAATCACAAGTGAGGAAAGAGAAAATGACGCAGCTTCAATGGTTTAGGATATTTTGGCAATGAGAGAGAACATTTATGGTGCATTATTATGGTCAGCAGAGATCTGCACATAGTCTTTATTCTAACATGTACATACACTGACAAGAAATGTATTAGGAGGGCTAATATATACAGAACATCACGAATCAGTGTTCATCGTGGTACTGAAGGGGAGTAACCGAACAGCTCTAACTGAATGCTATAACTTACTGATGCCTTTTCACCAGTGATGCTTGCTTCATAAAACCATACTTTACTTCTCTTTCTAGTTGGACATCAAGCCACAACTCAGAAAAAAACCCTTAGGATGTTTATGTAAATTACCCGCATACGCCCACAGAGCTTGTTTGACCTCTGTATTCACAGTAATGCTGGAAAGTCCCAAATGACTCTCATAGTGTTCTTCTCTCCATATTTCCATTCGATTATCAGTGCTACTGGACAGTTTGGTGCATTTCACCATGTTTACTGATCATGTATTTAATAAAGCTTCAGCAGGCGTGTGGAGGATTATCAGATGATTTAAAGGCTGACAGATGAGTCTAAAGCTCATGGATAACTAGTTATTATAAGCATATCATTATAAGCCATTTAATACTGCAATACGTGTGCTGCAGTATGGGGTTTACTGTAAGAGGTTGTGATTTTGCACTTTATCAGCGCTGATCATGTCTGGCCATCGCGATATTTAAGATGTATAAACATTTGAGATGCATGTAAAAGTTTAAAGGTAATGTATTTTGTCAAAATGTATGTATTTTTAGTGCTTTCTAGAATTTTGATATACACATCGAAGGAAATTAACAGTTTTAGTATTGAGTTTCAAAATTATTTGACATTGAAAATTAGAGGCGACAAACCAGTCTGAAGGGCTCAAAATGGATATTTTAACCTCTACAATTCCACGATAACAGGGGAAAGCCCACCTGCAGACAAAGATTATGTGAGACAATACGATAGCTAAAGAGACCCTGAGCTCAGACTGGTTTGTCATCTGGTTTCTGTATGTTTGCAGTCATGTTTGCCTAAGTTTACGCTCCCATAAGACTATGAGTATTACATACACTTGATTAGAAATATATAACATCTGATGTATTTTGGCATTCAGGATCCATTTCAGTTCTGAAATCCATCAAATCCAGAGAAAGCATTCTGTCATCCCTCACTGTGAATTTAACTGAAAACATTTTTTAAATGACAATATGTGACTTCAAGTCCAGTCAAGATTTCTAGTTGACAGAAGCTGCTCAAATGCTCTTGCATTTGACCTCTGGGATGAAAAGAAAACTGCAACTCTCTTCACATTTGACTGGACATTATCTGACCAAGACTGAATTCAACCAAGGACAGTTTATCCAGGTAAAATACAATTCAAGGAACAGTCACTATGTTCATGTTGTTGCCACCTCTTCTTGCTATAAAACTACATAACTAAGTTGTCAGCAACCTTGCTTTTGTGTACAGGTGTGGGCTCTTATATTGAACAATAAAAATATTATTATCACAGAATTATTATGTAATAAACCTATATAATGAGTTTTAATTGTGTAATTAATCCAAATGTGAAAATAATCACTGGTATTTTCCTTTTGAGATGTTCTTTTGATGATTGCACTGTCACTGTTTTATGACAGAGTAACATGAATGTCTGTAATGTGATTTGCACAAAGTGGCTAATACATCAGTGCATATTTTCCGTGTTGTCTTAAACTGAGTTTTCTTCAGCCATCTGTCCTTTATGGTCTAATAATGGATGCTGTAAACAGGCATGCAGAGTGACGCAGCTCAGTGCACTGCATCTTATAAAACATCTTCACCACTTTTACAGCAAGTGTCACTTTTAGGGAGAAAAATGCTGTAAAACCAGCTAATTAAGAAATGTCCTGCAAGCAGGCTCAGATTCCAGAAAAAAGTGCACTAAAGAAGCAGTAGCCAGGTCTAATATATGCAGTATAATACAGTGGAATTAAAACTATCTTTAAGGATAAAATAATGCAGAAGTGGGATAACAGAAGAACTGGGCTTTAGTGATATGGAATTCAGAGGAAGGTGGGCAGAGGCAGCAATACATGCAGGTCAAATCTAGAGGAAGATATAATGTCAAGATTGAGATATGGACATATAAAATTAAATAGTACATTTTTTTAAATAAATGTTTAATAAATAAACATAGGCAAGAAACAATAGAACATTAATGCTCCAGATATTGAGAAACAAAGATTAAAAATGCAACTTGAAGACAATAAATAAAAATTTAAGTAAAGGATATATTACATACATATTACATTACATTTTTTGGGGGGCGGGGTACTGGATTAATCAAGAGGATATGAGAGAATTTTGTAGAAAGGTTCTCTTGACCCACGCTCCTATCAGAAGGTGGCGGTATTGCACCTTACGCTGCTTGCCATCCGCCAAGACATCAGAAGAATAAGAATGGTTGCCACTGAGGTGAATCAAAGGGGTGAATGCTGCGGTGGGGTGCTGGGTTGTCTGCCTGAGGCATAAATAGATAGATAGATAGATAGATAGATAGATAGATAGATAGATAGATAGATAGATAGATAGAAATACTTTATTAATCCCAATCTGGGAAATTGCATTGTTTCAGCAGCGGTTCACACTCAATATCAAGCACACAAACCAATAAATAGAATAGATAACTCACTAAAAATATAAAATCTAAAACAAAATATAAAATACGTTAAGTTAAAAACAAACCCAACACAATCAAGTACATATACATAATCACATGATGAATAAAACATATGCAAATATATACAAAGCTGATTCAGTAAACAATTACTCTCAATCCAGGAATCGTCTAATGCTCCAAGATGATGTGTTGTACA